ACTGTAAAAAATCTACTGGATGTTTCCTGGAGATCTGAGACAACCATAATAAATGCAATTTCAGCAAAATAGTAGATCCTGAAATCAAATTACAATGGGGGTTGAGCCTGCTTCTCCCTCTGCCTATGTCTCTACCGCTCTCTCTCTCTCTCTCTCTCTCTCTCTCTGTGACTATCATAAATAAATAAAAACTTAAAAAAATTAAAAAAAAATTACAATGGGGGTTAAAGAAATGAAGAAGAGGCTGAGCAGGTGGAGTTAGCCAGTAACTACCTATTAATCAAGAAAGGAAATAATAGTTCCTATGAACGGTGACTTTCACAAGTAAAAATTTTTTGTTTCAAGCTTTTGAACTATTAAAACATCCAATCTCTTTACTTTTCCACAAAATGAAAAGACCAAAGCATCTGGTATATTAAGCATTAAAACCATAGTTTTCTTACTTTAATAGCCTTCTATTATTCATACTATAAATTAAACAAGAAAAACTTTTTATTTTGAAAATCTAATAATGTCAGTGAATAGGTTTAGCAATAAATATTTGAACATAACCAGTTATTTCAGTTACAGAATCCTATTATTGATATCCATCTACTCTATTTTCCTCCACTTATGTGTCATTTATTTACAGTATTAAAAACAAAGAATTACAGAGGCACCTGGGTGACTCAGTTGGCAGAGCATGTGACTCTGATGTCAAGATTGTGAGTTCAAGCCCCACACTGGGAGTAGATCTTACTTAAAACACAGTAAAAGAATTACAAACACTAGGCATATGTTACAGGAAATTTCTAAATTACACAGTACATCCTGATCTATCTCTAATACCCATTTCTAATACACATTAATCTGAGGCACAAGGAGGTGAATGGACAGCTAGAGAAACTATGAGTAGACAAAAAACATGGCAGAGAGATACAGAGGGAAGCAGATACACAGGACATGCACACTAATGACAAGGCAAGATATTACATTACTCAATTTTTATATGATTCAGGAACTAAAAGAACTGTAGATTTATTTTGTTGAAGCAAAATCTATTGTGAAGTAAATACATTAGTCTTTCAGATAGTGATATATTTCAGATACATATTCGAGAAATGAAAAAAGAATGACTATATAATACTTCAATAAAATGATCTTTTTTTTTAAGATTTTTATTTATTTATTTATTTATTTATAGAGACAGAGAGACAGACAGGCAGGCAGAGGGAGAAGCAGGCTCCATGCAGGGAGCCTGACGCGGGACTCGATCCCGGGTCTCCAGGATCACACCCCAGGCTGCAGGTGGCGCTTAACCGCTGCACCGCCGGGGCTGCCCAATAAAATGATCTTTAAATAAGATTTACTTACAAGAAGGTAAATGTTCTGGTTCCATATTTTAACACTGAAAAAATACAATTCAAAGTTTAGATTCCATTAATATGCAACTTAGAGACTATCTTAATTTTATAGTTTTCACACACCCCAAAAATTTGCCTTGTTTAATATGTACTGTGTATGTGAAATTAAACACCCTACCAGAGCCAAAAGAATGATCTCTCAAGTCATAAGGACTCTTTAGAGCCAAATGAATGATCTCTCAAGTCATAAGGACTCTTTATACTTCTTTTCCCCTTCTCTGAAAGAAAGTGAGTAGAAGTTTATTTGGGGCTGAAACTTCAATAGTTTAATTTTTTTTTCAGTTTTGCTTCAAGGATTTTTGGACTAGGTACTCTTCGGACTGCCTGCCTAGTTAGTGAATGATCATTCTATTTACCTAAGAAAAGTCCCTTCCCTCCCATACATCTGAACAAGCTCCCTACTTGGTCAATTTACACAATACTCCTCACTGGCAAGTTGACTGATTCAGGAATGTGAAAAAGAGTTCAAGCAACTCTAGTCATTCTCATCTCTTACCCTAAACTGAAATAAACTGAATGAGTTAGTTGAGACACCAAGATGGATACCTTTATTCAGAATATTCAGTCCTAAACAGTGAAAGTCAAAATGCAAGAGAGAAAAATAAAGCAGGTGCCAAGAAGCCAAGACAAGTATCCAAAAAGCCCTCTAGAAACAGAGAAACTGATAAATCATAGAAAGAAGGGCTGTGAAGAGAGAAGGTAAGGTTATGGACAGCTCTCCAATTCTTGGTTTCTGTTCTTCAAGTAGCTCAAGGGCAATATTCTATTGCAACTAATTTTTTTTTCATTTAAGCTAGTTTGGAAGTAGGCTGCAAACAAAAACTATACTAACAAGGAATTTTTCTGTATTTCTCATGTTCTGCTTTTTTTACTGTTTTCCCTAAATAGTGAGAATGCAATTGTTGGCCTAGGCAACATCATGTCATAGAAAAAGCATGTGCTTTTATAACTTGGGACAAACTCAGCTCTGCCAACTTCTAATTGTAAAACCTGCTACAAACTCCTTAATTTCTAAACAGTTTTAATGTTTCTTTTCCTATCAAAGGATCTATAACTTATGAGTAAATCCATTGTACATAATGTGGGAAGAAGGTATCCAGAAAAGCTATTCTCCCCTTTTTTGTATCATGGAATCTAGAACTCCCCTTCCTTTCTCACTGTGGTTCTGGTCCCAAATGTGTAGTCTCAAACACTCTTGAGTGATCTTATGCAAAACTCACATTTGCAGAGAAATTTAAACTAAGCAAGAGGTCTACCACTATAAATAGGTCTAGGTCCTAAAGATTTTTTTTAATGTAATTTTTTTACATGCCACTTTTAACAGAAGCCAATGAAAAACTGATCTAAGGATCTTAAGAACTATGTAGAGTACTATTTTATATACCTGGGATAAAGTAAAATTACCAGATTAAGAATACTGACCACATGGTTGGAACTCAGTTTTATTTTTATTTTTATTTTTTGGAACTCAGTTTTAAAAAGCTCTTTCATACCAACCAAATTGTACACTGTAAGAATAAACAACTATGTCATAATAATGAGACATCAAAATACTCCTCACCAAAACATTCAAAAATGCAAAGGTCAACTTCATATTCATCTCCTACTCAACATTTAAGTTGTCTCCCTTTGGGAATTCATATCTCAGTATATAGGGTTTGTTTATTTTATATACTTTACCACTCTGTTCCTCTCATCTAAAAACCAAAACTCTTATCTCTATGTGTTTGTAAGTGCTGTTAGTTTTCTGTATCTGAAATGCCTTTATGCTAGTTCACCTGACAAACTCTTCCTGTAAGAGTCAGTTCAAATGAGCTCTCTTTCCCAAAACGGTGCATATCCTGCCTCTAAGGTTTAAATCTTGAATACTTTTCCACTGGAATAATAAGACATCTTGAATTACTACTGAGTACCTTGTACAGATGATGTTAGTAGCTTTATATACATACTATCTTGACCTTGGTCCATCCAGGTAGGTACTATATATCCACAATTTCCCAAGACAACAAGCTTAAAATCAAAGCATAGCCAGGATAAAAATTCCTGTGTAGCTCAAACCTTGTTATCTTTCTACTAATCTGGAAGTTCCAAAGGTTTTTGGAACCCAAGCCCCTTGAAAATCTAAGAGCTATGAACCTTCTCTATCCCACCTCCACCAAAATGGACATATACAAAAAGTATTAAATATAATTTGAAAGGGTCACAGACCCCCTGAAGCTCACTCAATGCCCCAAGGAAGACTTCCTGCTGCTTCTCCTACGTCTGTTCAGTTGGTAAACTTCTTGAGGAAAATAACTTTCATATTTTCAACTGCCAATTCTAAACACAGTGCCTAGGGCATAGTGGGAACTCCAGAAATCGCTTATATATGAACAGTGGATGGCAAGAATCATGGAAGGATGACAGGGATACATTTTTGCATTCCTTCAGAGCCTACTAGGATAGCTACTCCAATATTGTTAAATAGCTTTTCAAATGCAGATTACATCTAAGAATAGTTATTACAAGAATTGTAGACATTAGCATATATCTCAAAGCGTCTGAGATTAACATGATCCACATTCCGTATTTTCTAGGAAAAACTCTGAGGGACCAACAACTTTTATCTGCCATAAGGCAGCTCATAGACACTATAATATTATACAAATGGAAATAAGACTTTTGTGTATTTCACAGAGAAGGAGATAATTGTTAGGGTCTGACTGCATGAATCTAAAAAATTTTTTAGAAATGAAAGAACCCAAGAATCTAAAAATACTACAGAAAATATGAAATGTTGAGAGAGAAGTTCAACTATCTGGAAGAAACTTAAGGTGTCGTGAGGTTTAGAATAACTGCGTATCACTGGACTTGCATTAGGCAAGTCTTGAACTCAAATATAATGCAAAACTTTTTCCTGATATTAAAAATCAAATTTTACAATAGAGATAGTATTACAATACAGATAACATTACAATGAGATATTACAATGGAGAAATGCTTAAGATAAATTGGGCTGAAATATTTACCCCAGAGAATTAATTACATTTTTGCTTCTAAGTTTGAGGTCAGGGTCAGAATTTTCAGTATTCTGATCTTCAAGGTACTGGTTAAGAAGTTTTCTAAAAAATGGAAAAAGTATGTTTAATAGTACACCACAAATAAAATTTCATTCATCCAGTGGGAATGCTCAAGGACAATATATATATTATTCCAGAAGGAAGGGGATATATATACTGCAGAGTACAGGATTTTAACACTGCAAAGGTGACAAACTACGTTAAGGCTCTGGAATGCCAGGCTAAGAAGTACAGACTTTATCCTATTGGCCTGTGATTCTAAACTAGGGCAAATGTTATAAAATTGGGAGGACAGGAGAGAGGGAAATTGGGAAGATAGACAGCATATAATTACAGTATGAAAATAATCAGAGCAAAAAAAAAAAAAGAAAAGAAAAGAAAGAAAAGAATCAGAGCTTGGATCTGATGCTTTGATTTGGCTTGGGCATTTAAAATTCTAATAATTTTAATGGTTATCAAAGGGAGCCTTGAATTGTTTTTGAAATTACATTTTTGATAATAAAAATAAAACCATTTTTCTTTCTTTCTTTTTTTGTAGGCTCCATACCCAGCATGCAGCCCGATGCGGGGCTTGAACTCATAACCGTGAGATGGAGGGAGACCTGAACAAGATCAAGAGTTCTGACGCTTAACCAACTGAGTCACTCAGGCATCCCAAAGATAAAAGCATGTTTCCAGTACCATCCTAAATAAACTTATTGATGAAAACAGAACTAAGGAGCAACACAGGGACTAAAATTGACATATCCTGATTTTTACAACCAGTGTGTTTTCTATTATCCCACAGATGCCAACACTTGAAAATGGTATTTTAGGAAAGTGAGTATGATATGCGGAATGGATTGGATGAGGCAAGAAACCAGAAGCAAGAAGAGAACAACAGCTATTGCTGTAATCACTCCAAAACACCCACAAGTTACAAGATACCACTATTCTTTGAAGAAATGCTAATAACATGGTATCTGGATTTTATCAATGGAACCTAAAATCAAAAGTTAAAAGTAGGTATTTTATTAAAGTTAATATTCTAAGATAATGGTCCCCAAGTAGGATTCACGGGGTGGGGGATACATAAGCAGTTACTTCAAGTGGTTCCCTGAATCCTTACACATATCAACCAGCATCCAGAGAAAAATACGTACTATCATATTTATGCAGCAGATATTACAATTAATAAAACCCTGTTTATCTAAAAGTTTTCCTGAATGCAGCCTGATACTTTATCTCAAATTTTCTTTTTCAGTGGGTACTGAAAATACAAACACATTGTGTAAGCATACACAGAAGTGTGTACACAATGAAAGGGGAAAAGCAGTTCTGCTCCTCTAAGAGACAAATCCCTTGGACCATTTGAAGAATCCACCTGGGGATCCCTGGGTTGCTCAGCGTTTTGGCGCCTGCTTTCGGCCTGGGGCGTGATCCTTGAGTCCCGGGTCGAGTCCCGTGTTGGGCTCCCTGCATGAAGCCTGCTTCTCCCTCTGCCTGTGTCTCTGCGTCTCTCTCGCGCTCTCTCTCTCTCTCTCACGAATAGATAAATAAAATCAAAAAAAAAAAAAAAAAAAAAAAGAATCCACCTGAAGAATAAATCTCTGTCTTACAGTTTCAAGCTCACCACAATTTCTGCTCATGCAAGGGCCATTAATGCCTGTTAAGTGCCAGGCACTATATTAAGCAATGAGGATACAGAGATAATTAAGTCCCAATTGCTAGCCCTGGAGGCTTTCAGTCCGGGGAAGTCAGAAATGTAAATGTTTATGAATCTAATGAACTGAATGCTATAGAAACACAGAAGCATTTAACATATGAAGAAAAAAGTTTTAATCTGAATGTTAATGTCTTACTTTCAAACTGTCAAAGACCTTTTCGAAACTAAATGTCAACTATTGAATGGAAAAAAAGCTAGCACTATTCTGAAAGTAAATACATACAATAAAATTTTTTGAGAATTAACTATTAAATTTGTAGTATGCTGTCTCTGGTAAGCCACAGGGAAAGAGTTACTTAAAAGTTTACTTCCACTTATTAAGTTACTTAGAAATATGTTTGGCTGGATACTCATCAAAGGATGGCTTAGAAACTAAACCAGTAGCAAATGCAAAAGGAAAATACTTCCTATCACTCTAGGTTTGAAAGACACATTAAACATACAGAACCATTTATATAAATTCACTAGGATATTTTAAAAACCTACAAGTCAACCACAAGATACAATCCACCCCACTAGGATGGCTGTAATCAAAAAGACGGACAAGTGTTAGTGAGAATGCAGAGAAATTGGTGGGAATGTAAAATGTGCAGCAGCTTTAACAGTCTAGCAGTTCCTCAAAATGTCCACCCATATCACCCATTAATTCTACTCTTCGATATATATACCCAAGATAAATGAAAACATATATCCTAACAAAAATGAGTACATAAATATTCATAGTAGCATTATTCATAAAATACAAAATATTCTATTTTATGTATTATTATATAAAGAAAATATTCCAAAAAGTGGAAACAATTCAAATGTCCATCAGTGGATGAATGGATGAACAAAATGTGGTATATCCATACAATGGAATATTATTTAGTCATAATAAGAAGTCAAATAGTTTCAATTCCTGCAACACATGAATGAACCTTGAAAACATTATATTACGTCAAAGAACTCAGTCACAAAACAGCACATATTGTAGGATTCCATTTGTATGAAGCAAATCTATGGAGACAGAAGGTAGATTAGTGGTTGCCTCAGGGTCAGGGATAGGAAAGGGAGGAAGAATGACTGCTAATGGGTATGGGGTATCTTTTTGGGGTGATAAAATTGATAATGATGACTGCATCATTTAGTGAATATACTAAAAACTATTAAATTATACAGCTTAAATCAATGAGTTTTATTAAGTGAATTATCTCTCAATAAAGCTGTTACTGATTTTTAAAACACCTCAATCCACAGCATTTAACACTTTAACAATGAAAATTTTTATACTTATTTCAGCTGTGCAGCATAAAATCTTCCAGGCTTTCCATCTTTCTTCACTTCATGTTTTCTAACATTTCAAATCCAAACTTTAAAAAGCTTTAGAGGCCTCGTTTAACCAAAAGACAAGTTCTTATCTGTCTTTTAAAATTATATTTAAAAAAAATAAAATTATATTATATTTAAACAGCAATCATTTCACAAACGAGGACACACATATAGTTAGTTAAGAAACATATAAAATACTGCACCTATCGTACCTTTAACACACACAAAAAGCAAAGTTTATGAGGGGAGCTCTCCTTCAATCTGTCTTCCTCCAGTTTCTACCATCTACTTTCAAAATGTTAAATGTAAATGTTAAGAATTTATACTCATTTGACCTATTTTCTCCTCAATCAACTATAATCTACACTCTTCCATATCCTACCCAAACCACTTTTTGTGGTCACCAAATCACTCCTACTTGGCAAACAGAATGGGTACTTTCTCAATCTCACCTTACCAGTCCTTCTAGAAGTATTTGATTTTGCTAACTACTCCTTTCCCGAAACCCTCCCAGGCTTTTCTGACATCCTCTGGGTTCCCTTCCCTCCCCTCTGAGCATATGGGCTGCTCTTTAAATACTGCTGCTAAAAAAGAAAGGAAGGAAGGAAGGAAGGAAGGAAGGAAGGAAGGAAGGAAGGAAGGAAGGAAGGAAGGAAGGAAGGAAGGAAGGAAGGAAGGAAAAGAAAAGAAAAAAAGAAAGAAAGAAAGAAAGAAAGAAAGAAAGAAAGAAAGAAAAGAAAAGAAAAGAAAAGAAAAGAAAAGAAAAGAAAAGAAAAGAAAAGAAAAGAAAGAAATACATACTGCTGCTCTCCAACCTAAAGCTGGTCACTTTATACACTCATCTGAATAAATTCATTCCCTGTCATGCTTTCAAATACCTTTTATATGCTCATATGACAACTTCCAAATTTTTAACTACATCCTGTCAGCTTTCTTGAGCTCTGTATTTCTGCCTAATGTCTCAGGCACCTCAGTTTACCACATTTAAACTAAACTAATTCTCTTCTACCTTGAAATTTCCTCCAACCACCTTCTGCTTGGTCTCTTCTACTTCTTTCTCTTCCCGTACTCCTAACCATACCAAATGGTATCTTCTAACTTGGGTGATAGTATACCAAACCAGGAAACTTGGAGTCATACTGTAAATATTCCTTTCTCCTGGACTACCCACATCTAGTGAATCAAGACTTCTTTCTTAATCCTTATCAGATCCTATATATACTCTCTATTCCACTATCTTAGTTTAGTTCAGGCCCTTATCTCATTTCCTATATTTCAACAGCTTCCAAAATGCTCTCCTTCATCACTAATTCCATCCTTAATACTGCCACCAGAATCAACCCCTACAAACACAAATCTGTCAAATGACTGCTTACCCTTCTTAAAACATATAGTGGCTATCCAGAACCTATCTGTAGCAAAGAAGTGAAGGCTCATACTAAAGCAATCTGTAGCAGAAGGTGGGGGTAAGTAGTTGGAGGCCGGAAAACATTGCTAGAATGTTCAGTTACTATGTTTATTTTCTTAACACCTGCCCACTTTCCAAGTGACCCAAAGAGTTGTAGTATAGAACTATTCAAAATCACTAATACTGATCTACTGAGTGAATTATAGCATAGATGCAAGAACCTTCACAATCTAACCCCTACCTAATTTTCTCAGCATCACCATTAGCCCTTACCATGCATTACTTCACTGGTTCTCAAAGTATGGTTCAGGGACAGCCTAGCCCCTGGCCATTTCAGAGAGTCCATGACGTTAAAATTCTTTTCCTAATAATATTAATTTATGTTTCCTCACCTGTAAATATAGGAATGCACAGACCTAAGGCATGGTAATTTTTAAAAATCATTTTCATTCGCCTTTTTAGAGTGTACAGTGGCGTTTTCTAGAATACATGACATATCATGCTATGTGAAATATAAACACTGCAACCGTATGAACGAAGCAGATACGAAAACCCAAATCCAGTTTTCTATTAAGCCAGACATTAAAGAAATTTGCAAAAATATAAAAATGTTGCTTCTCACTAATTACTTTCTGTTTTGAATAATAATGATCTATAGTGGGATCCCTGGGTGGCGCAGCGGTTTGGCGCCTGCCTTTGGCCCAGGGCGCGATCCTGGAGACCCGGGATCAAATCCCACGTCGGGCTCCCGGTGCATGGAGCTTGCTTCTCCCTCTGCCTGTGTCTCTGCCTCTCTCTCTATCTCTCTCACTGTTACTATCATAAATAAAGAAAAAAAATTTAAAAAAAATAAATAAATAAATAAATAAATAATGATCTATAGTTAATATGAAGTGGGTTTATTATTTTTTTAAGCAGACATTTTTTATATATATGTTTGCAGTGCAGTAAATGAAAGCTTTTTGGAGCCCTCAATAATTTTTAAGGCTATAAAGGATTCTAGAGACCAAAAACTGTGAACTGCTGTTTTTAGGTGATTATCTACCACTCCCCTAAACATGTTCAACTTTAATTTTTTTTTAAGAATTATTCATTTATTTCAGAGACAGAGTGTGCACGCACGAGTGAGTATGCAAGCATGCACGTGGGGGGAGGGGTAAAGGGAAAGAATCTCCAGCGGAATCCTCCACGCTGAGTGAGACTCAGCTCAATCCACGGACCCATGAGATCATGACTTGCACCAAAACCAGGAGTCCCAAGCTCAACAGACTGAGCCACCCAGGCGCCCCAAACATGTTCAACTTTAAAACTTCCATCCCTCTGCATGGTGATATACCCTCCCCACCACTAGCCTAGTCCCAGCCAGGTCCCAAAGGACCTCAGCTGCATCTTGGAGAAACAGAACAAAAAGAACAGAGGTTTTGGGGTGCCTGGCTGGCTCAGTTGAAGGAGTTTGTGAGACTCAATCTCGGGGTGATGAGCTGGAGCCCCAGCTTGGTATAGAGATTACTGAAATCAATAAATTTTAAATGCTATATGTTGGCAAACTGAACTTCAATAAAAGTATATATATATATAAATAAAAATTTTTAAAATGCTATATGTTGGCAAATTGAACTCCAATAAAAAATAAATAAAAATAATAAATAAGTAAATGAATTTTTAAAAAGAACAGAGGTTCTGAAGTCAAGCAAAATACTTAATTTCTCAGAGTGTGCTTCCTCATGTGTAAGATTCAGTTTACATCTATCTCATAAATTGTTGACATGTGAAGTAAGATAGGGTGCAAAGTATCTGGCACAGTGTTTAGAATATAAAAGGGACAGAAATGTTAATTTCTTTTTCACTTAAAATAATTTATAAAGACTAACATTACTGTAGTAAAATAAAAATGGTCTAAATTATTTAATCATAACAAAGCAAGCAGACAGGTTGCTTTGAGCAGTTCTGTCAGGATTACTGTTTGTAGAACAGATGGTTTTATATAATAAATCCCTTGAAATGGATAATTTCTACAGTAGTTCCTGGGTACTTTTGTTTGATAAATTAAGTTCAAATTAGTTTAAAACACCAGAATTGGGACCCCTGGGTGGCTCCGCGGTTTAGCGCCTGCCCTC